TTTTCCCCCAACCTTGCTCCCACTGCTATCTTCCCTATTATTGTAATCATTTTTCTAGTCTACTGGGTTTGCAATATGTCGTCCTCAACTCTTTATTATTTTTTTTTCTAATCCTTCATATCTAATCTGTTGCCAAGGCTTATCAGCTTCAAACTGGCAACATCTTTTGGAAATGTCCCCTTCTCTCCTCTGATACTACCATCACTTTGGTGCAGGCTGTCATCACCTCATCCCCTGTACTTTGCAATAGCCTGCTAATGGGCCGGCCTGCCTCGAGTCTCTCCCCACTTCAATCCATCCTTCATTCAGCCAACAAGGTGATTTTGCTAAAATGAGAATCCCACCATATCACTCTCTCCACTCAGTTGAGTACAGTGACAAACTGATCACCTCCAGGTCCTATACAAAACCTCTGGTGTTCAAAGCACTTCATAATCTAGCTCTCCCCTACCTTTCCAGTTGTCTTACACTTTACTCCCTGGCAGGTACTCTTCAATCCAGTGACACTACCCTCCTTGCTGTTCCATCCACAAAACACTCCATCTCTTGGCTTCAGGCATTTTCTCTGGCTGTCCCCTATGCCTGGAATGTTCTCCCTCATCTTCTCCACCTGCTGGCTTCCCTGGCTTCTTTCAAATCTCAAATAAAGTCCCACCTTTTATAGGAAATGTTTCACAATGCCTCTTAATTCTAGTGCCTTCCTTTCTTAATTATTTCATATTTATCCTGTACATAATCTATTTATACATATTTGTTTGTTGTTTCCCCTTGTGGCTTGACTGCATTGTGTCTATTTTTGTATTCTCAGTTCTTAGCACAGTGCCTGGTACATAGTAGGTGCTCAATAAATTTTTTTATTAACTGAATGACCGAAAATGTCCAGAGTTGGGGGATGGAGTGTCTTGAATGAGTAACAGCAAGGTCACTGGCTCACAGAGTACATAGAGAGGAGTACAATGTAAGAAGAATCTAAAAGTATAAGGGGGCCAGGTTATGAAGGTCTTTGAACATAAAACAGGATTTGATATTTGAACCTGGAGGTAATAGGAAGTCACTGGATTTATTATGATGATGCATAATATCACAGTACATACACATACACATAGTGGGCTCTTAATAAATGCTTCTTGACTTGATGTAGAACCTTATGTTTTACAGAGCCCTCAATTAATATTATCTCACTTCTTCCATTCAGTTCTGTTTTAGGTGCTATTATCTCATTTTTTTTTCGGATGAGAAGTCAAATGGCTTATCCAAGGTCAAACACCCAGAAAATATTTAAGGCAGGTTTAGGCCCAGGATCTTGTTGACTCGAAGCACAACATTTTCTCCACTGTATCCTGCTGACTGGTGTAGTGGTATGGGTTTGATCTTGTTTTCTTGAAGGCTATTCTAGTTGAGGGAAAATTCTTACATTTACTATCAACTGTTAGAGGGTTAGAATACCGACCCAGAGTTTGACTCCTTTTCTATCCTACAAGGAACAGTCTAGTCAAGTTTGAAAAGGCTCCTCAAGGGAAGCTTGGCCACCAGTTAATTAAAATATTTTATATATATAACATCTCATGAAGAACTATATCTAAAGGGTTGTAACCAGCATAGATGAAAGGACTAGCTTCACTGATGCAATCACAGATGTTTCAAATTATTGAAGAGTTCAAGGAATAATTTTATTCACTTATTTCTAAATTTAATTTAAATTTATTTCTTAAATAAAAGTCTAAAAGTCCTTTTGTATTATGCCATCATGTAGAATAACCTCAAGATTCTTTTGTCTCTGTTCTTCTTTTGGTTATACAATTATTTTTGGAATTTTGAAATGATTACTTCAGTTTTAGATATTGAGAGTCATTAATTATAAATAAGTACCCAATATCAAAAACTCAGGTCATGGTATTCTGAAACCTGAATTTGAGGGTCATTATGGTGCTATGTTGGCTGGGAAAACATTATTTAAAATTTAATAGTTAAATGAATAAAGTTAATTTTAAAAGTTAGATTTTTTAACCTATATTTTCTACTCTGTACAATTAGCAGGGCACTTTTCTATTAAAATAATTTCTTTAATACATCTGTATGACAAGAAAGAGAAAATTTGATGAGAAGCAAAACTACATCCCTTTAGTATTGACAAAGACAAAAAACAAAAGAAAAGGAGAGCAAATAGTATGCTTTCATCTACATTCAGACTCCAAAGTTCTTTCTCTGGATGTGAATAGCATTTTCCATCATGAGTCTTTTGGAATTGTCTTAAATCCTTGCATTGCTGAGAAGAACTAAGTCTATTAAAGTCAGTCATTTCACAATGTGGCTGTAAACTGTGTACAATGTTCTCCTGGTGCTGCTCACTTCACTCAGCATCAGTCCATACAAGTCTTTCCAGGTTTTTCTGAAGTCCACCTGCTCATCATTTCTTATAGCACAATAGTATTCCATTACATTCATATAGCACAACTTGTTCAGCAATTCCCCAGTTGATGGGCATCCCCTCGATTTCCAATTCCTTGCCTCCACAAAAAGAGCTGCTATAAATACTTTTGTACATGTGTTTCCAACGATCATTTTCAACATTCACTTTTACAAGATTTTGAGTTTCAATTTTTTACTCCCTCTTCTCTCCCCCTTCTTTCTCCCTCCTCCCCTTTCCCACTTTCCCAGGAAGTCATGCAATCTGATATAGGCTATACATGTACAATGGGGCATCTTCTGCTGAGGCACCTCCAGGTGATTCAGCAGAGGCCAGGGAAAATAGGTATCCTCCAGAGGCCAGACCTCCATGGGCTTCAGGCAATTTCTAAGAGTTTTGAGCAACTACAATCTACATTGGTAGAAGGAGGTCCCTCATTGGGAGTCTGAATGAAATCACAGGTCCTGTGCAAGGGAAAACAATCACAAAGCTATAATTAATCATTCTGTATATTGTAGTTCTGACTCTGCTAACTTTGCACTGTATCATTTTGTGTTCCCATAGGTCTCTAGAGTCTTCATATCTAGTGTGAGATCCATGTGGGCTCCCTAGAAGGGAGATGCCCACTCTCTGTCCTTTCTTCTTTTCTCCCCCTTTAGCAGCCTTCTCTAGTCCTTCTTTGTCCTCCTGAAAGGGAGATATATCTGGGAATCCCACGTAGCACCCAGACCCTATCTCTCCTAGGGGATACCCCTGATCGCTGCCCATTGCTTGGGGAGGAGTTTCTATTTTTCAGGTCTTATGCTTCTTATTTTATTTTTAATTTGTAGAACAAAACAAGCATTTTCATAAAAAAATCTCCTTGTCAATAAAGCACTTTGCCATCCCTGGCATTGGTGGCATGCCCCACCCCACCCCCCCAAAAAAAGGCAGGGTATAGAGGGTTGAATTTGGAGGAAGGAAGATCTGATTTCATCTAACCCTGAGGCTTACTGGTTGTATGATCATGAGCAAATCACATTACTTTTCTGAGCTGTCCTCTCCAGATTTATAAAAAGGCCCTTGTATGTAGTATATAGCTTGTGAAACTCAAGTGAGATGATGTATGTAAAGCATTTTAAAATGTTATGTCAAAAATACGTTGTCAGCCATTATAATATCAACAAACATTTATTGAGCTTACTCTGTGCCAGGTAATGGGGTACAGAGTAAAAAATAAATGATTACTGCCTTCAAGGAGCTCTCCTCCTAACGGTAGGGTACTTCTAAATAACTATGTACATACCAAATGCACACAAAGTACATGGAAGGGAATCTCAGTGGGGAGGCCCTAGCATCTGGCAGCAAGGGCAAAGGGCCTTCTGATGAAGGTGGGATTTTATTTGAATTCTCAAGGAAGCCAGATGCCAAGTGGAGGAGGTGAAGAGGGAGTGCATTCTAGCTCTGGAGGGCAGCCAGTACAAAGGCAGAGACTAGGAGGAGAGGAGAGATCAGATGGGAAGAACAGCAAGAAGCCCAAAGAAGCAATTGCTGAGTATGTGAAGGGAAGTAAAATGTGAGAAGAATGGACTTGTGAAGAGTTTTAAGGGCCAGAGAGAACAAATTTTAAAATCTCTAGAATTTTACTTGTTTCTCCAATGAAAGTTTTTTTTTTCTTTACAAAATACTGACTTAACCAGCCCTTCTGGTAGATTGGGACAATAAAACACTAAAATGCTTTAACCACATCTTATCTATCACCAAGGTCATTCAACCCAATCAAAGGATCTAGTAAATATGTAAACTCGAGAATTCAGGAACTTTGTATCTTGAATAGTAAGTACAGCACCTGGTACCTCGTAGGTGATCAATGAATGATTGTTGATTGCCTGATTTGTTTGATTCAAGGCTTTCTAACTAATCCTGACATCACTCTTTTCACTAATCCCATCATACATCTGATTCAGATATGGCTTTATTTCTCACCTCCAAGCCTTTGCCTAAGCAGGTCTGAGTACTGGGAACAAACTGTCTTTGTGCTCTTGGCTAAATTGTAAGGGGCATCATGCTTCCTGGAAGTAGTGTTAGACTTGGAGTCAGAAAACCCAAGCTCAGGCACCTAGCTGCATGGCCCTGGACCAATCAGTTTTTTTCTCAGCCTCAGTTCCTTCCTAAAATGAGGGAGTGGGTCCTCTTAGGTCCTTTCCAGCTCCTTGCTCCTATGACTACTTATCTTCTTCAGAATCCAAGCTCCCTCTTTCTACTGAGGTCTACAGAAAGCCTGCTCACATGTATCATCCCCTCCTATCTATATGAATCTCTACAATTCACAGGCAAAAATACAAGTTTTCCTCTTCTCTCCATTAAAATGTGTTTCCTGTACGGTTAGGAAAGCTGTGTGAATATGCATGCCCATTTTCATTATGACCATCAATTGATGTCTCAACATTGAATCTTATCATAGACTTGGGAAAGGAATTGAGGTCTCTGTTCTTCCAGCTCCATGATTTTATATGGCAGAAAAACAGAAAAGGAGTGGGGATTGTTCATCCGCCCTTCTTGAAGAGGACTAATGACATCAGGAGGGTGATCTTTTGAATTGGATGTAAGTGAGGCAGGCTATGCAAAGTCACCAGTGACTCAAAGGAGAAGGAATCAGGGTTCAGGAAAGCTCTGTTTCAAAAGGAGCTCTCCCTAGAGATTTAATTGTGTTGCAAAGGCAGAGTCATGTTGGTTAGCAGTCTCCGCCTGCCTCGGTGTTGTTTTATTTTTTCCCTTCACTTCCTCTGATAAAAGGCTTTAAACTACACAGTTCAAGTCAGACCAGAGGACTAGAGTCAGGTAGGTAACTCTTCACTCTGGTAATGGTATGAGGGTGGAACCGCATCATCTGGGTTCACACAAAGAACTAAATGGGAAATACCACTTGCCTTTAGCTAAGGGGGCTACTCCCTTTTCTGTTAGTGTTTTAGAGAGATAGAGAAAGAGAAACAGATGTGGGAGAGGCTGGGAGAGAGTCCTCAGGTCAGATGAGAAGCAGAGGGAGCCGGGAGCTGCAGAACTCAGGGAGAGGGGCAGAAAAGGGGTGAGTGGAGTGTGCCGGCAGCTCGGCTTTATTAGAGACCCTTGTCGGATGCTCGGTTCGGGGTGGGAAGGGGGAGGTTGGCCCTCTGGGAGTCTGGAGCGCAGAGGAAGGGAATGATGGATGTAGGGGGTGAGGGACTAGAGGAGGGAGGAGAGCAGGGGAGGAGGTGGTGGGTGGGCTGGGAATGAGTGGGAAATGATCCGAGGGATGCCCGTCATGAGACCTGGTGGTCTTTGGGCGCAAGGATGCCAGAGTGCTATGAGAGCAATTGTGCATGGAAAGATAACGAGCTCAAACAGGAAAAAGAAACTGAAAGTTTAAAAAAAAATAGTGAGTCTCCTTTGGCGGGTTGTCGGCAAAGAGCTCAGGTGGATGGCTGGCTGACAACTTGGAACAGCCGAGCTGGTCTGTCTGAAATTACGCAATCCCCAGTCAAATATCCGTACAAGAAAGAAGCACGTGGGATATGTAATCCAACTCATGCAATAGAAAGAAACTCGTCCAGGATATACCCAGGAAGTGCTTACCAAAGGCTGGAGGATGCAGAGGTTAATTGAACAAGACCAGGGAGGAGAGAGCCCCTACCTCCAGAGGCAACCCATTGCATTCACTTATCTGGGAAAGTTGTGAAATATTTGCTTTCGTTAATGTAGTTCCACGTCTGACTCTTCATGCTCTGTTTGGGGTTTTCTTGGCAAATATACTAGAGTGATCTGCCATTTCCTTCTCCAGCTCATTTTACATATGAGGAAACTGAGGCAAACAGGGTTCAGCGACTTGCCCAAGGCCACTCAGCTAGTTAATGCCCGAGGCCAGATTTGAATTCAGGAAGAGATGGCACTCTATCCACAACACCTTTTTTTTTTCCTTTACCTAGAGCTAAAATCTGCCACTCCAACTTCTAGTCAGTCAACAATTTATTAAAATGCTCACTATGTCAAGACACTGTGCTAACAGCGAATCAAAGAAAGGCAAAAACAGTCCCTGCCCTAAGGAGCTTCCAGACTACTAGAAGAGGTGCCATATAAACAAATATAGAGGATATAATATAGATGAAAGATGAGCTTAGAGAGGAAAGCACTCCAGTCCTGGGGAGGAAGGAAGAAAGAGGGGGGACAGGAAGGGCTCCTGAAGAATGTGGGATTTCATCTGCGTGAAGGGGGGCCTAGGAGATGGAGGGGAGGAGGGAGAGCATTTCAGAACTGGGGTTCACCCAGGAGACTGGGCAAGGACTGACTTTGTTTCTCCACTAGTTCTGAATGGAGCAAGGGTAATGCCTCTTCCAGCTGAATTTGTGTTAAGAGTCCTGGAGAAGGGACCAAAGAAAAGTTATTTGGAGTTAAACAATTCCGCTTTCTTATCCAGGGCAGTCAGAAAGGACCTAAGAAGGCAAGGCAAGGCAGGGCAGGGAAGGGCAGGGGGAGGGAAGAAAAAAGGAAGGAAAACTAAAATTATTTATTGAAAAGGTATTGTGTCCTGTTAGTGAGGCATGTGGAGTGATATGGAATACTCCCTCAAATGGTATAATGTACAGTCCTTGTTAGTAGTACAGGGTTAATATAGTCCAACTGTCCATATGGTTTCATTTATTTTTATTGATTCCTGGAAATCTTGGTATACTCATTCTCCTTTTCCAAGAACAGGCTGTCCTGTAATCTTGGGAATTTTATTGTGCGCCTTTTCTGTCAGGGATAATTAGAGAAAAATAATTCATTCAATGAGACTTGCTCAATCAGAAACAACAAGGGGAAGGAAGTTTCTACAGGTAATTTATTTTCTTAATAGCAGAAATTTCCCCTAATAGTATTTAGGGTTTCTCAAGATTACAGGGAATGAAGAAAGAAAATGTCCACGAAGGATTAGAAGAGAGAAAAAAAGGAACATTATTTCCTTCATTGGTTAATACACTTACAAAATTGATTAATACACTTTATTGGTTAATACCACTTACAAAAATATGCTTACAAAATACACTTACATTGGTTAATACATGGGACTTCCATATTTAATCAGTTCCCAAATCTGGAAGAGAATTTCTTTGTTTAAAACACCAATCAAAACAAAAACAAAAACAAAAAAAAGTATGTCAGGGCACATTAGAAATCACATTGAACTCACAGAGCCCAGATCATGTCTCTTGCCATTAACAATTTGGTTCAGGATTATAAAATCATCATTCCAGATCTGGAAGAGGTCAGCATCTCATTCAACCCCCTTATTTTACAAATGAGGGGACCAAGGACAAGGGAAACTAACTTGTCCAAGCTGACAGAGATCTTAAGTGTCGAAGGTTGGATTTGAACTCATATCCTCTTAACTGCAGAGACATCACTCTTTTCATTGGACCACACTCTTACCAGGTTACCCTGTTCTCAGGGAAGTAGCCTAGTATACTGTAAAGAGCTCTGGCCTTGGAGTCTGGAGAGACTTATGCTTCCAAATTACTTGTCCAGTGCCAAACATCTAGTGGTCATGGTGAAACAAAGTTTACAGATCTCCAGGTAGAGGGGAGCTTGGAGACCGTTTAGGTCAACCTCCTCATTTTAGAGATGAGGACAATAAAGCCCAGGGAGACTGTCACAGGTGCTAAATGTCAGAAACAAATGTGGATTCTCCGATTCCAGTGTTAGACTTAGACCTTCTGCATTTCACTGTTTCCTTTGCGTTCTGCTGAGACACATATAAGCTACGTGACCCTGAGCAAATCCCCCTTAATAAGCCTCAGTTTTCTCATCTGAAAGATGGGAACGATAATACTTGTACCTACTTCACATATTTGTGATAATCAAAAGGAGTTATCTGTATAAGCTGTGAAGCTCTGTCTAATTCTCAGCTATGATTTTCTTTGAGGGCAAAGACTTTCCTTTTTGTCTTTGAATCCTGAAAGTATTGTAGCAGCTTAAGAAAAGCTTGTTGATTGGTTTATTATTGGGGGTGGGGCAGGGGTAATGTTGAGAAGGTAGCAAATAGCATATTGGAATTGAAGTCTGGAGGACCCAAGTGCAAATCCATGACATGGATAAGTCCCCTACTTTTCACATGCCTCTGCCAACTCCCTAGGACATCTCTAGAAAGCTGATTTTTTTTTTTTTTTGCCTTGGAGGGAATTCCCATGCCTGAAGTTTTCCACCTCTGAAGAAAGTGCACATCCTCTACCTTCTGCTATTATAATCCAGCAATGAAGCATTTTGTTATGTGGTCCAGAAAGTGTTCCAACAGCTTTATCTAATATAGCATGCAAATAAGTTAAAATGAACTTCAAGACATTGTAAGACTAAGGATTTCTCAAAGTTATTTTTTTCCCTCTGAAAGGTGACAATATTTGGAATAAGAAAGTGTCTTATTTAAAGGCAGAGCAGTGCATAGACCCAGTTAGGGCAGAGGCAAAAATAATTAAGAGCTGAACATCAAGGTTTGTTTTTGCACAAAAATAAGATAAGGCCAGTTTGTCTTTTGTCAGTCACTCTGTAATTAGAGGGTATTCTTTTTCCCCTTTCCTTAAGGTTTATTGTATGACGTACATCCAAAGCTGCCCTGAGCATGAACCAGATTCTTCAATAATGTCAACAATAATAATAATGGCTAGCATTTATATAATGTTTTAAGGTTTACGAAGCATTTAAATAATATTATCTCATTTGTTCCTCACAATAAATTTGGGAAATAGGTTCTACTTTTATTGCCATTTTACAGATGGAGAGACTGAGGCAAACAGAGGTAAAGTGACTTGCCCAGGGTTATACAGCTCATAAGTATCTGTGGTCAGATTTGAATTTGAGTCTTCCTAACGGCAGTCCCAGTGCTCTGTCCACTGAACCACCTTTAATTTAGCTTTATAGGTTAAAGATCTTAAGGAAGAATTCCTAGTTTGATATAATTTATATTTAACCCCTCCATCCCCAATCTATATAGGTTCAGAATAATATACGTGTGTGAAATCCCAAAATGCTCATCTTCCTGCCCTGTGTTCCTTTCTCCACTGCTTTCTTTGCCAAGGAATGTCTTTCAGCAAATTTCCTCCCCACCCCACTCCCATGTACTTGTTAATATATCTGTTGTGGGAGGGGAGAAGATTGAGAGGTTTCATTTAAAAATATGAAAGTTATTCAATTTATATTGTACTTAACACACAATTAACATGGTTCAATGAAAATATTGTTGGCTTTCTATTCAGAGGACATGGTTTCACATTAGAGCTCTATACTTATTAACATATGGCCTTGTATCATCAGTCAAAGATTATTAAGCACTTGCTATGTGCGAGGCTCTAGGGATAGAGGAAGCTGGGTGATAGAGTAGATAGATGGTTAGATTTGGAGTCAGGAAAGCTTGAGTTTAAATCCAGCCACAGATACTTAACAGTGTGACCCTCTAGTAATTCATTTAACCTGTCTCCTTAATTTCCTCATGTGTAAAATGGGGATACTAACAGCACCTACCTTCCAGGGGTACTATGAGGATCAAATGGGACGTTTGTAAAGTGCTTAGCAGAATACCTGGCATATAGTAGGTGCTTGCTATTTTTTTTTTGTTTGGCAGTTATTAAAGATGGGAAATGAGCAAGAATGACAAGTCAAGGAAGACTCTATTTTTGCAAAAAAGGGTGACAGGAAGGAAAACTGGTGCCTTTGAGAGAAATAGGGAAGTTCAGAAATACATTGAAGGTTTTTTTTTTTTCTTTGAGGTTCCTAAAAGTGAAATGATCTACTTTGGATTAGACAGAAAATTAAGGACAGAACTAGGGTATGAATAGACA